TTATTTTTGTGTAACAATTATGATTTACGGTAATTGTAATAAAATTGAATTGCAATTAATTTTTCGGCACCCCTGGTTTTTAGTGGATGATTATGAAGTATTTAAAATTGTCAAAAAAGTTTGATGTTAACATTTATTACTAGCTTTATATTATAGTTATCTATTACGCTTATGTATTGATTACTTGTATCATGAAATACTTACACTAAAATTTAAAGTTTGAGATTTAAACTTAAAAACAAGATTTTTAGACCATTTAGTTTTACTTGGAGCATAAACTGCTAATATAGTGTTTTGAGATATTGAAGCTATGTATTCAGCACTTATAGTGCATTTTAGTAAGCTTAAAAAAATAAATTTTCAATATTACTTATTTGTATAAGTTTTTGAAATTTGTTTACGATCTTTTATTATAACCTTTGACGATCAATCCATCCGTTTGTAAAAAAATGCAAATTCGAAAAACTATTTTTATTGACATTTGACTTGTATCTAATTTCGATAAATAATATGTATGGACGCGTAATAATAGCAATTGTAATGGCTATTTCAACTTTTATCTACATATTATACCGTAAAAATGGTGGATAAAAATTTCTTTACCTGGAATTTCAATCTAAACATTCACGGTAAAGATCAATATGGACTTGGTTCTGAGAAAAGGGACAAAATTAACAAAACAAAAAGTTTTGCAACAAATTCTATAATAAATTATATGAAATCCAAACTTTAAAGAGTTATACTGCAAAATTTTATTAAGATAACAGTATTTGTTTCTTAAGTAAAAAATGTTCTCGGGCTAATTTTGGATTGGCCCATTTTTTGTTTTGTATAACATGGAATCTGAAAAATTGGTCGGTTCCATCAGATAATTACAGAATATTTCGGGCGACACTGGATAAAATTAAGGAAAAAAATAAATTGAAATAATTGGCACAATTGAGACTTAAAAAAAAAATTTGAAAATTTGAAAAAATGGGTCGGCGAGTTATGCAAAACAAACCGAAAAATTAACCTTAGTTAAGCCAAAAGAAGATTTTTAAAAAATTGTCAATTTTGGTCCATTTTCTCAGCACATAGCCCATATATTCTGGTCCACGTATACAAACAATCATTATACCATGTATTCATGTATGGATCGATCAAAATTTATAAATCTCTAGTAGATATTAAAGATACTGCATATGTATAATCCAAAACATTATTTTGGTGATCACCCTAACATATCGTTACGTGATTAAAGGTTAGCTAAGTTGGTCGATTTTTAAAAAATCAGTTTGATCGATTCTTAATAGAATCTATGTGTTCTAAATTTATTCATCTTTCGTATTTATTTTATAGAGCTTCGAATTTAAATTATATGTTATAGGTAGATTTCGGAATTCAGTAGGTTCAGAATCCACTTAAGTAGATTTCTAATCTCAATAGCTAGAAATAAACAAATTTTTTGCTTGCATCTTGAATGTCTAAACGACTTGATTGGTCAAAAATCACACCTAGGTCGATGTTTTATTACGTATTTAGTCGACTAGTTTGGACTTAGACTACTAACACTACGTATTGGTTTATTTAACCCGATGATAACTCCAAAATGAGCTGTTGATTAAAATTATACACGTTTCTAAAAGCTCGTGCTTCGTCTGCTTGCACAACCTAGCAGGTTGATTCTGGTATATTTCTGTTTAGTTTATATTACAAGCTTCACGTGATTGTGAGACAATCTACGGAATAAAGCAGAAATACTTAACGTTAAGTACGCAGTTAAACTACGACTCAATTGCTTTATAGGGAAATTAATACGGAAAAGTTATTCATTAGTTTCCACTTTACCTGTTTGGCATAACGATAAACTTTTAGATCTAACGTATTTGGAAATAAAAAAAATATACAATATCTCCGATTTTAACGAATATAAATTTTTAAAATTTTGAATTTTTTGGTTTCTTACTGTATAGAACACATAATTCAAATAAAAATGATTATTCAAATCCATTAACATTTCCAATTGCTTCTTCATTATCATCCTAACCTTAGCTACCTATATCTTTACCTTTTATTATAAATACTTTACTCGACCTAATCCGCTTTCTGGTCCATTTCCTTTACCATTCATTAGAAACTATTATGACCTCTACTACGATATAAAACCATTCTATGATCAATGTCAACGAAAGTATGGAGATATCTGTTAAGTAACGCTTGATCATAGTTATATTATTCTTTCACGACCAGAATATATTAGAGAACTTTTTGCTTCAACAATCTTTTTCCAGAGGATTCAATATTCTCAGGGTATGAACGAACTTGGATTACACAAACATGGAATCATCTTTAATGAGGATTATGAAACTTGGAACTATAATAAAAAGTTTTTTAATGCTGCATTATCAAACAAATTTATGGATGCATCCATAGAATTCACAAATCAATTATTTGAAGAATTGAGCAGATTTTGGCAGTCCCTTGGAAACCAAAATAATTCAAATCATAATAATAACAACAACAATAATAATAATAATTGGATATTAGAAACAGATATTTCTGCATGGTCTCATGGATTTACGAATGATCTTGTTTCAGTAATCATTACTGGAAAACGCACATATTCAATTGCCTACTATTATAATACACAAAGTAATAGCAAATCTGAACACCCTGATGCGTAATCGAAGATGGTGACAAATTTGTAAACTCATTCATAATATTCCTTGAAGGTCTTATATTATTCATGTTCTTTAACCCTTTTATAAGACATTTCATTCCAATAATCAAAAATATTATTTAAAAAATCGTGATTATTTATTTAACAAATTGGATAATATAATTAAGGAGAGAAGAGAAGAAATTGAAAAAACTCCGGTAGATACAGAAATCAAAACTGATATGCCGACTTCTTTAATCACTGCTAAGATGACTGATGAAGATATCAGAGGTAATTTATTGATGCATTTTTGGGTGGAACTGATACTGTGAGTATTACTTTCGCTTTAAATATTTTATTCTAATTTTTTGCTTATAATTATTTATTAAATTTTCTTTTCCTATATTTTAGACTGCAAATTTATTCCGCTTTATAATTTACTATCTTTGTAAACATCCAGAAGTAATACAAAAAATGCTTTCGGAAATTGACTCTAAATTATCTGATGGACTTTGCGTAAAACGTGATGATCTCTTAAAGCTAAAATATTGTGATGCCATAATTAAAGAAACTGGTCGTTTAATGGCAGTGGCAGTTATTACATTACGATATATTACTAGTGAACGTGAAGTTGCAGGATATAAATGGCCTGCTGTTACTCATTTTATATTGAGTTATTCAGGTCGTCTTCTTGTCTCCTGGTTTTTTTTTTTTTAATAATTAGAATAAATCAAAACTCTATGATCATCTCTTTATTCCAATTTCATATTTATTTATAACTATCTGTAATATCAATCATCCATTAATATTTAATATCTTCGCTAGTTCTTGATAAATTAGCGATTTATATTTATTAGGAACCAAATGGATTCATCCTATCAGTACTTTCTTTGCCGATTTTTGATAATAAATTAATGCCTTATATTTATACATTTTAATTCCAATTTCCAATTACTAAATACATTCTTTACATTTGCATCTTCTTTATGGTCATATTCTGAATATAATTAAGAATCATAGCAAATTAGAAATTCAAGCATTTTCTTGTTCGCCAATAGAAAAAAAAACCACCAACAAACAGTATATTTTTTTAATAAAACTTTAAGGGATAGTGGAAATAAAACTCAATCTTCTTCAATTTTAGCGATATTGCAACAGGAAAACAGATTGTTATATTATATTAAAAATAGAATACCATTAGCTTTTAAAAAATCTAACCATATTTATATTAAATAGTAATTATTGCATTATTGCTTCGATAAATAATAAATACATTTGTATTATTGTCTAAATACA